GCTTAGTGGGCACTAAAATAAAGCTAAAAGTTTTGCATATGTCTTAAGTATAGGCAAATTTCTGCAAACACACACTTCCAATTTAACAAGAAGTATTTAAGACTGAGACAACACTGGAATTTCCTAGTAACAAGGAATATTTAGTCATATGCCCCATGTAACTTGCTAATAGGTTTCCTTGACTAATTCTGTAATTATCTTGAGTAAATAAATACCTTATTTCAGTTTAAAGTTTAACTAACACTAAATATGAGGCATGGCTGCATTAGAGAAGGTTCAAACATCCTGATGACACAACCTAATATGGCACTCACGAAGAAGGAAAGGAGACACAAATTCAAAATAATTCTAGGGTCAAACAAACACTGTCCTCCCGTTGTTCATCAATTTGCTCGAGTGGGCCCAGTAATGTCTCCATTTTGAGACTTGTTGTTACTGTGTTTGGCATATTAAATACATCACAGATAGCTTGCCAGGCTTTGCCGTACAGGCGAGATACTCTTGGTAGCTTGATAGGCTCTCGGAGAGGAGCGGAGGAATCGAACCCGGTTTCGCCGGGCTGGCTGCATGCAAGGCAAACACCCTGCCGCTGTGCTATCGCTCCAGCCCTATTCTAGGGTAACAATTTTATTTAAATCCAACCCTCTGCTACTAGAGAAACAACAAGGGTGTTCAGAAAACATTTATCACAGAAATACTGCAGGCCAGACTCTCCTAACCAGAGTGTTGAGATACCACAAGAGGAGTGACAATTGTATGGAAATATGGACCCTTTGACTTGCAGAATTTCTGGGTTGAACCTGGAGTGAGGCGGAAGCCAATGACATACTTAGAATAACTTTAGAGACAAATACCATTTTCTGTCTGTGCAATGACACGCTAAAAAGCCAAGCAACACCAGTGTAGCGACTCTAAACTATACTGCACATCTTTAAAACTGTATGCAACCTGCTGCTAACACCTAGTAGCATTTATAAAATATCTTCCTGTAGGAAATAACAGGACAAAAACTACCAAGAGGGGCAACAGATGCTAGAACTTTCTAGGAATTGCTAGTCCAAGTAGGTAGAGAGGCGCTTCTGAATAAATTGAAATGAAACCTGTGCATGCATGCACCCCATGAACCCCAAGCCCTACCCATGAATTAGCTTCTTTAGTGATAAAATAATTAAAATATACAAAGTAATTAAAGTTATGGCAATATTTTTAATTGGAATCAAAAGCTCGTAGTAACATACCCACCATGTTAGAGCTCGAAATAAGAGAAATGAACAGTACAAAGGCCACTGCACATTGTCTATCGAGCGGGCCCAGTAACGTCTCCATTGGAGACTTTGTTGTTCCTGTGTCTGGCATATCAAATGCAGCACCATAAACCAGGGAAATGGGAAATGAAAGCTTGAGCACAAATCGTCATTCTGGATAAATTAAACTGCACAGACTGAGTCATCAGGGAAGTATTCGTACACACAGGAGGAAACAGTGACTATATTCTTTGATGTCATCACTTAGCTGTTAATTTTCAAAGAGGGAAATTTAAACTCAGATACACATCTTCATATGGATATTTTCTTGAAAGCAAGAAGATAAATTAAATATTAATTCAAGGATCCTTCTAAGTTGAAGGCAGTATTTTTAGATCAGTGTTGCAATACTAATCACCATATAATAATATTCTTCACAAAAATCTCCTACCCTTTTTGGAAAACAAACCAGCTGAACTATTTTCAGCTATTTCTCAGGGTCAAGCTTCCCAGGCGACTATCGATCTCAGATCCATAAACCTGCCAAAGATCACCCACCTCTTTCCTCACCCACCTACATAAACAAGAGACAAGGGTGTATGTTGACACTATTTGCCACTTTCTCCCACCAACTACATGTTACCCTTCCTAGGCTGCCTTAGAGGGTCTTTCCTGGATATTAAAAAGACTTTATATTAAGATTCCTTCACTTTCACATCTTTTTCCAAGCAGATCAAAGCCACAGATAGCCACAAAACAAATTCACTAAAAGAATGTCCATTATTAATCTTATGAAGCCAATTAAGGGGAAAAGAATTCTCGGTTAAAATTAAGCGTAGTCATGAAAAGAACGCAAACTTAAATCAAAATTAATTTCTTTTTGAGAGACTGAGAAAACTTCTACCTTTGGTATTTTTCTCTCTTCCTCACCCGTCTCATCAATTATAGCCAGCATATACCTACTGAAACAAAACTGTTAACAAAACTGTACTTCTGTATTAAAATCCACGTCCAGTGTTACTTCCTCTGTAAAATGCGGAGAGATCTCAGAAAACAAACTTGTCACTCATGCTTCTATAACTGCAGGACCTGCTCGTCTCCATTCCTTCCAGCAGGCCTCTCTCCTTCTCTGTAGCTGTCCTGCGCAAGTCGAGAAAGAGCTCTTTGTGCTGTTCTGTGCCAGTGACAGTCCCTAGATAGATGACCAATAGGCATCATGACCATGCCCTGAAGCCTTGTTTTTTCTGGATGCACGATGTCTTATGAAATGTCTCTAAAAGAACTTTCTAAAAATCGCTAGCTGTGTTCACCGTGTCATTCCACTGTTTAACAGAACACTCTCCACTTGGCTACTGAAACGTCTCAAAGATTTCACTCCAAATTTCAATCTCACTTATATTATCTCTCTCACAATTTCCTACCTCAAGCTTTGATAAGACTATCATAAAGTATTTTACAAGGCTACCCTGTCCAATCTTAACACACAAGGTATGAAAAAGGGTCTTTGGGGAAAAAGAATTTAAAAACTACTACATCCTACGAAGTTCACTTTCTTTATCACAGAAGCTCTTACATTTTAGCATTAGGAATCATGAAGGAAGAAATCACTGTTTCATTGTAGAAGGAAATTCTCCCATTGATTTCACTATGGTACATTTACAATAGTTCTAGATTCCTCATTTGGGATGGGGGAATGGAACATTCCTCATTTGGGATGGGGGAATGGAAAATCACTGTGACAAGCAGGGATAGGGAAGCTGCATACACAGGGTCAAACAGTTACTTGACATGTCTTAAGACACCACACACGCTGGGGGAAAAGGCAGCTCAGATAGAGAAGGGAGCACCAAACAAAGGGTGTTGGGAGGATCCTCCCAGGATGGGAGATCCGTGCTGAGAGTGGACTGTGGACCGAACATGATTGCCACTCAATGCCTCTCTTGCAAACCACAACACCCAAAAGGAGAGAGAGAACAAAAGGGAGTGCCCTGCCACAGAGGCAGGGTGGGAGGGGGGGTTGGGGGAGTGGGAGAGATACTGGGATTGGTGGGGGTGGAAAATGGCCACTGGCGGAGGGATGGGTGTTTGATCATTGTATAATTGAAACCCAAGCACAAAATTTGTAAGTCTACAACTGTACCTCATGGTGTCTCACTAATAAAAATTAAAAACAAAAAACCAGTACACAAATAAATATTCCCTTTTATTGAGTTTGTTCTCCTTTATTGAAGAAAGAAAGGGAGGAAATTCACATTTTCATTTGATTATTTTTTTCCACGGGGCTGGAGCGATAGCACAGTGGGTAGGGCGTTTGCCTTGCACGTGGCCCACACAGCTGGCCTGAGTTCAATTCCTCCGCCCCTCTCGGAGAGCCCTGCAAGCTACTGAGAGTATCTTGCCCGCACAGCAAAGCCTGGCAAGCTCCCCGTGACGTATTCGATATGCCAAACACAGTAACAAGTCTCACGATGGAGACATTATTGGGCCTGCTTGAGCAAATCGATAGAACAATGGGAGGACAGTGCTACAGTGCTCTTTTTCCATCCTGTTTTGTCATTTGTTTTGGGTGTGCTCAAGGCCTACTTCTCACTCTGTGCTCAGGTATCTCTTCTGAAGATGCTTGAGGGACCAAATCTGGGTGTGCAGGTACAAGGCAGGCACTTCCCCTGCAGCAGATCTCTTGTACCTGCCCACTGCCCCACCCTACACCATTCTCTATTTGGCCAGTAACTTCCTTTCCAGAAGAGCTGGAGTCTTTATACAAAAACAAAAATGGAAGTTCTATCTTATCACTTGCAGTGGTCGGAGGTAAAAGTTTAGTCACACAGGAGGTATGTTAAAAATGATTAAGGGTGTTTTGGCTGACTCAAGAGTTGGCAAGTAAGGGGTAAGAGGAGGAAGTCTTTGATTAATAGCAGGTTCCTGAAAAGGATAATTATCCCATAAACTTTCATGTAGGTTAAAATCCTGTTCAGAAATATCTGGGCATAAAATTGTTTTAAATTGAAACACTATTCTATTTTTGCATTCCTTCATGATCTTACTGTATACTAAGAAATCCAGAAGTGTAACTAATTTTGTTTTGTCCAAAACTTTACCAAGAGTTGTCAATATTTGAGAAAATCATTTCCCCAGTCATTAAACCCCGTGTGGTATTTAACACAGACTGTACCAGTCTATTCCAATTAGACATATTCACAGGAATTATTGTATCTGGTTACTTCACTGTGTCCTCTAAAGTATTCCTGCCTTTGCACTTATATAAAAATGTACTACTGTGCCTTAAGTCACTTTCTTTCGTCCTTTACATTTTAATTAGAATATGATACAGTTTCAAAAGGACATGTGACTTAAATTTTCATTCCAGAATGGTGAGAGGGCCACTACTTTTTCACTTGTTGTACAAAGTGAAAAGGAGCACCAGCATGCCAAGTCTAAAACGGCAAATGTTAAAAGTGCAAAGAAAGCTCTGCCCTTCTAGGGGAAAAGGTGAGCTGGGCCTAAGGGGGGCTGGCCAAGACCCCAAGAGTGCATACAACAGCACCCCTGTTTCACATGGGGACAGAGACAGCGAGCCCAGGGGCCCCTCCCAAGAAGAACGATCACAACACCCACGAGTGGAAGGGCACACACCGCCAGTCAGCGTGGCCAGGCAACTTGGGGGCCTTCGGACCCTGCCCGGCATCCAGGGCCAGGTCACCTCTGGTGGAGGCGGACCCCTGGTCTAGTGGCGGGCTGCCAGGCACACTCACGAACCTCAGTGGTGGTTCCCACGTCGGCAGACGGGCTGCACGTGCTGGTGTCCGGGGGAGCTGTGCCCACGCTGCTGCGCACCGGGGAGCCAGGGCCCGGCCCGGACACTGCCTCCGGGAAGGCGGCCGGAGCACTGGCGCTGCCTCGCTTCTGGATGTCGCGCCACACCCTGTGCATGGCATCCGTGAGCTCGTACAGAAGCTGAACCTGCGCACAAGTGGGGGAAGAAGAGGGAGAACGGTCTGTCACTGCTAACTGCAATGGACTAGGGCATCGACAACGAAAACTGAGGCACGTCCAGAGAAATAAGAATACATGAAATTCAGATTCTTACATAAATCATTAAAATGTATGATCACACAGTTTATCACTATACCATCTAATGATATAAAGACAAAAGCATTCCTATAAGAAACCTAACAGGGGCCGGAGCGATAGTACAGTGGGTAGGGTGTTTGCCTTGCCCGTGGCCAACCTGGGTTCGATTCCCAGCATCCCATATGGTCCCCAGGGCACCACCAGGAGTGATTCCTGAGTGCAGGTGCCAGGAGTAACCCCCGTGTGCCACTGAGTGTGACCCAAGAAGCAGAAAGAAAGAAAGAAAGAAAGAAAGAAAGAAGGAAGGAAGGAAGGAAGGAAAGAAAGAAAGAAAGAAAGAAAGAAAGAAAGGAAGAAAGGAAAGAAACCAAACATAGTATGTGTTTTGTCTCTTCTGGGGACACATCTGGCAGTGCTCAGCCTTATTCCTGGCTCTACACTCTACACTCAGGGATCACTAAGTGACTTAAATTAAATTAAATTAAATTAAAGGCCCTCCCGTTGATCATCGATTTGCTCGAGCGGGCCCAGTAACGTCTCCATTGGAGACTTTGTTGTTACTGTGTCTGGCATATCGAATACTCTCGGTAGCTTGCCGGGCTCTCCGAGAGGGGCGGAGGAATCGAACTCGGGTCGGCCATGTTGGCTGCGTGCAAGGCAGACGCCCTACCCGCTGTGCTATCGCTCCAGCCCAGACTTCAATTAGAGAAAATGAATTTATTTGCAGTTGAGATTTGCTACATACAACGACTGCATTTTTAAGTGTTTTGATATTTTGTGGAAAAATAATTTTTATGAAAATGATTCTAACAATGGCTTCTTGTGAGGACAGATTTCACCTAATGTATGAATAATATCACAATAGAAATATTTCTGAAATGGACACCTGGATCGAATTAGAAATCAAATATATCCTAGTGTATGTGATCGATTTATACATAATAAAATTAGCATTCTAAATAATGAATTATTTCCACACGTAAATTCTCTTTTTTTGAGAAACCGAACTGCAACTAATTTTTTATCTAGCAAAATACTGTGAAAAAGGATAAAATAGTAAAAGAAAAATGTTACATATGAGAATTTTCTCTAGATAAAGAACATAAACTATCCAACTTACAATTCCCCTTGGATTTGTCATTCCAATATTCAGAGAAAAAATTGTTTAACTTATACATTGTTTGACTAAGTTCTGAGATATTTACACAAGATTTCATAAATAAGCATTAATCATGGAATTTGTATGACAACATGTTGCCATACACTGTATCAAACAAGCCCAGGGAAAAAATGCTAACACAATATATATAAGCAAATCCACAGCTGGATGCCATATTCTGCTTGAAATTAAAAAAAATAAAAGAGCAAAATTCTCATATTTATAAGAAGTTTCAGCCCCAGGACCCATTCAGATGATAAAGCTAGCTTCTTATGTGGGCAGAACAGATGCGTAAGAATAATGTTGTCAATCCTTATTTGATATAAAACAGTACTTGGGTTACATTTTTCTTCTCCTTTTTGTGTGCGTGTGTGTGTGTGCGCGTGTGCGTGTGTGCGTGTGTGTGTGTGATAGTCCAACTCTTAGGCTATAGCTATTTTTATTTTTAAAATTCAAATAGAAATTTTAGAAGCACCTCTTAGAAAAAAAATTAGTTTCAAATATTTTTTTCTTTCACCATAAGTTCTGCTCTCGAAATACTTCTGCTGAAATCCCAAATTTAAAGCCATTATTTCACGCTTCCTTAAATAATTAGAATTAACAAATAAGGAAATCATAAACGAAGAAAACAGATATTAAATCTTTGAAGAACACCCAATTTATTTACTTTAAAAAACTGATGTGGCATTTATGATTAGTACTTCTGATTTCTTTAACCTATACTGTTAAATAATCCAGCATCAATGTCACTAGGTGTGTTTTGTACTTAACATGCTAAGTAAATACCTCAATAAACTTAAAACTTTCGTTTTGCTTCCTTTTGTTTTGGGGTCACAACCAGCAGTGCCAGGGTTCTTCCCTCCTGGCTCTGTGTCCAAGGATCACTCCTAAAGGTGCTCAGGGGACCAAAACCACGGTGGTTGAGCGGAAAGCAAGCACCCTACACACTACACTGTCTCTCTGGCCCTGACATATTTTAATTTTCAAAGAAGAAAGTTGCTGTCACAGAATTTAAACCTCCCAAATGCAGACTATTTTTAAAAGAGGAAAAATCTAGGGAGCTGGACACAGCACAGTGGTCAGGTGTCTACTTGGCATGCAGCCCACCAGGTTAGACCCCTTGCACTGCCACGTGAGCCCTGAGCGGAGAGCAAAAGTAAGCGCTGTGCCCCTAAACAAAGCAAAACAAAACAAAAGGAGGATGAAGAAAAACGTATGGGCTGTATTGAAATTCTTTCCGTGCAAGCAGGTGACCCCACTGGATCCCAGGCTCCTGAATAGTGCCAGGGGTCACTCATGAGCACAGAGCTCAAACTTAGTACTACAAGTTTGGCTCAAACTCCTACTCCCACCCCACCCCCCAAAAATACTAAGATAAATATTCATTTGTTCTGGAAACTACTAATAAAGGTACTCTGAGGGGCTGGAGCGATACCACAGTGGGTAGGGCGTTTGCCTTGCACGCGGCCGACCCGGGTTCAATTCCTAGCATCCCATATGGTCCCCTGAGCACCAACAGGAGTAATTCTTGAGTGCAAAGTCAGGAGTAACCCTGTGCATTGCCAGGTGTGACCCAAAAAGCAGGGGAAAAAAAAGGTATTCTGAGCTACCATAACCTACTACTCAAATGCCTACAGTCAAACAGCAAAACTGCATCAAGTATAGGCAAGGACACAAAATTGAAATATACTGATTTATGATGGGAACACAAAATTGAGAACACAGGTGGAGCAGTTTCTGGAAAAGACACATCCAGCTGTTTCACTCTACAGTGTTTCCTAAAAGGAAGGGTTGTGAAGGGGAGAGGAGAGAAGAAAGGATAGGGGAAAGGAGGTGAAATGAAGGGAGGGCAGAGCAGGAGAGGGTTTGGGAAGGGAGAGAAGAAAAGGATGGTTCTACAAGTTCTGTGACTTTTCAAATAAACACAATGATTATTAGAAGTCAGAGACTAGTGTCTGAGGACGTTAAGTGGAAATGCTGGTAAACCATTTATGGTGAAGGAAAGAAAATGGAAGCCACTCCTAGGAATAAAGTTCTCAATATTTAGCTTGGCTAAATACTTTTTAGTGTTTAACGGTTTTGAAAAGCAAAAAAGTTAAGGAATTAACATGATAATTTAGCTCTTGCACACTGATACAGAGTCTGACCTAACACTGACTATGCACCTTGAGGGAGGTGAGAAATTTCATTTCATTTTCTAATCCTAGAGGGGCTCTGCAGATCATATGGTGCTGGGGACTGAACCATGGGCCCCAAACACAAATCACAAACTCCAACCCTCCGCACCATCTCCCCAGTCCTATTGTAAAAGTACTACTTGAGGACTTTGCTTTAAGCAATGATTAAACAAGTTTATTAATGCACAGAGTGGGCACTTGTGATGTCACTCTTATGGAGAAACAGAACAAAGGTATGTGATTATAAGTTCTTTCCCTGGAATTAATTTTAAAAGTTCATCCACTGCATACAACCAAAAGTACACAAAGCTTCTGAGAGTACATGTGAAGTTTTGAGTATACACATGGTTCTGGGGAAAATTACTCAGAGTTTTTAATCATTCGCAAGGAAGCCATGTCACAAAAGAACACAACACGAATCTAAATCCCTTCCTCGCAAAACATACACACAACCAAACCACAATACAGATGCATTAGTGAGCGTCTATTCATGAGTCAGTCATCACAAAGGGAAAATAAAACAGTAGAAGAAATGCTATGATCCTGTAAGGAAGGATATCATTGCCCCTGGGCAGGAACCCGAGTGTGGGACAGTGCCCTGGGCAAAACAGTTTAGGACTTTGGAAAGGTGATGGACGAGTGCCCAAGGGAGCAAACATACACCAGGAAAGGATGAAATAAAACAGTGTAGGGTCTTTTCGGTGTAGAGGGCCACATCCCAAAGGCAGAACAGAAAAAAGCAGACGCTATACTTTAAGAGGTGCTATGGGTTGGCCACGTGCTAGATCCCAGCCCGTGCTCTTCCTGTTCCTTCTGAACGCCGACTTGCGGACTAACTGCCCTTAAAGTGCCTGTCAACCTAAGAATACCTCACGTGCTGGGAGCCAGGGTGCAGGAGCAGCACTGCACTCAATAAAAGGCTGAGGGGGAGCTCACTCGGGGCTGCCTGGGCTACTCTAAAGCTTTATGTTTGTCTTCTTGTGAGTCTGTCTCATTCTCTGCGCTGTTGTGGAGAGAGGTCGAAAGTGCCAATCTGGCTGGCTTCTATTATGGTAAACTGCCACATGATCCCAAATGCACACAGATATTTTATTTTAGAAAGCCCTGAAACTCTTTACATAAGATAGAAATCCCATGAACATTTTGATGTAATTTACTAAAGATATAGGTGTATTTCACTATGTTAAAGCATTTTTTGGTAACAGATGTCATAAAGACCCAGAGACTACAAAACCCAGCTCCGGAAGAGAACAGCGCAGAGTCTCCTGCCCCCGTGCCTGAACAGAGCCCCGGCAGGCGAAGACCTCCAGGACCAGCCACAACCATGCTGAGACCACTCTCCACACACATGAAGGTACGGGCAGAGGAACACAGGCATGTGGGTCCCAGGGCTGAGATCTCCAAGCCTGCTCGGATTGGGGCTGAGCATCCTCCACCCAGATCCTCCATCTTCCAGTAGGTAGAGCTCACACCCACCAACTGCTCCCGGCGCCAGGTAATCCCATCAACGGCCAAGACCCAGAGACTAGAAAACCCAGCTCGCGTGACATCTT